GTCTGTGTGTGTGTGTGTGTGTGTGTGTGTGTGTGTGTGTGTGTGTGTGTGTGTGTGTGTGTGTGTGTGTGTGTGTGTGTGTGTGTGTGTGTGTGTGTGTGTGTGTGTGTTAGTGAATGAAATCGTTACTCTTAAATTATATTCCAAAACATGTTCATTATCTTAATCGACTATCTGTTTTGAAAAAAAATAAATAAATATAAACATAATGCAGACGTATCAACACCAACCATTAGCCGCTGCCTAACAAACAATCCTGTAGAACCAGCAAGACTGCTCCCTCTATTGTATTTACATATATGCATAACTTGTCTCGGGAGCAGTCTACGCCCCTGACAGCAAGGCGAAGTCACGAAGAAGGCCGAGGCGGAGGATCCAGCGGCAGGAGGCCGCGGGAGGCAGCGCACCGCCGGCGGAAGAGGGGTGGCGTCGGAGACCGCGGCGCCTCAGCAGCATAACGTAAAGGATTTGATTTGAGGAGGGAATTCGTGTGCAGCGCGAGCGATCTGTGAAGCGTATTATGTTCAGCAGTCAGCCTGACTTGTGGTGCTGAGTTCGTTTGCGGTGAAGTCATGATTCCGAGGTGCGTCGCGCGTGGTGGTGACGTGACTGTGTGGTGAAGTGACGATGTAGTGCCGGTGAAAATCTCTGGCAGAGGCAGGTTTGTGAGCGGGCCCCGAGGAGCAGTGGGGCGACTGGGCGGGCCTTCTGTCCCTTTGCAGTCAGCACATCATCTTAAAAGCAAGAGAACAGTTAATTCAGTTTTGTCGTAACTTGTGCATACACCATTATTTCTGTTTACTGGGGAATACTTAAGATACCTTGACGGCCTTCCTGTCATGCGGTCATATAAATGAACAAATAAGTGTGTCTGTATTTGTGTGAATATTTAAGCAAAAGGTGTTAGAAATTCATATTTCAGGTAAATCTCATTGGTAAAATATTATACTTATCAATTTTAACATTCTATTATTGTGCCAATCTTAGCATTACCGTCAGTTCTACTAATAACATTTGTAGAGCACCTTTTGAGCACAGGAACGACTGAAAGTAGACAGGTCGGTCCGCATCCGGAAATTTCAAAAGCCGCCGACCTCGAGGACCCGAAAACCTGGTCTAAGCCAGACATCAGGCACTCCCATGACACCTGCCTGAATGTTGTCTCACTTTCGCTGGCGTTCATAGAATGTATATTTTGTGAATGAATGCCCGGCTATTCCCCTGGTACAGTCCGCTGGGCTTAGGATTCAGGTGGAATAACCATTCAGAAGCACCGTGTGACTTCCTGCCGGTTTAATGACAAACAAAATATAATATAACGAGTAAATTTTTGTGAAAGGTCTATCATTATTGCTTCATGTTTTTGTCGTTACTTTGACTATTCGTCATAAATCATAAAGTGGCAACTAATGTCTTCAGAATGGTTATTCGTCACGAAAACTCGTCAGCTCACGCTTTACCAGGAAGAAACGGGTCGCGCGCTGCTCACCTAGAAAAACCTGGATGCCCAAGGGTCGCTAGGAGTGGTTGGCGAAGTGCCGTAAACGTCACTGAAGTTGGTGGGCCTCGAGCTGAAGTTCCTGCCGCCGCTGTAGTGCGCCTCGACGCTGCTGACGTTCTGAGGGACGCTGGAGCCGATCATGCCTGGCACTCCTGACGTCCCCGACGTCTTGTAGCACTGCAGCACGTAGTCCCGGCCGCGGTTGTTGTCCCAGAACTCTTGGCCGAGCGTGTGGTAGCGGACGCAGAAGATGAGAGCCCCGTCGTCTTGCAGGAAGTTGCCCCACAGCAGGAAGGAGAAGCGGTCGGTGAGGCCGTCGTAGGAGCCAGGGACGTAGGCGGCTGTCGCCTGCAGGAGAGAGGATCGAGGTGAGAGGGAGCAAGAGAGGGGGGGCTCGCTTCGAACAAGCGGGATCTGAGGGTTTTATCGAGAAGTATCTTCAGGCGTTTTACTACGAAGACTCCTTATAGTACATGAAAATATAGTATTGTTTGTTAAAGGTGAGCCAATCGCAAGATATTCCATAGTTCCTTTATTAAAATGAATATATATTACAAAATAAGAATTAATCCATGTAACAAACAGTAAAAAATAACATGATTCAATGGAATTAAAGTGATTTTCGTTTCTTCACAGAACACTGATTAACATTAATTAACCGGTTACCTGTAACCTTATTATATAATGCTGTAAAACCTGTTCTTTCCACACGAGGGAGTCAACCTCTTTTCTTCCAGCTGCAACGACTGAGCTTTACGTGCCGGCGCTTACGTGTGAACAGGAAATGTTATCTACTAATTACTCATGCCCATCCACGCCTCCAGCACCCATAGCGTCCTTTAACGCAGACAGCGTTACATATGCGTTGACGAATGATGGAGCAAACTCCCTTATATTTCGCTCGCTTTAAACACTTCAGGCTACCTTCCCCTTTCAAGTCACTTCCCGGTAACTTGAAATCGATTTTATATTATCCCGGAGCTTGCCTAACTTCATATC